TGAGGCATGAAAATTGGTGAAACCTGGAAGGTGGAGGTTGCAGTGAGTTGAGATCACACCATTGCACTCTAGCTTGAATGAGAGTGAGACTCCGTTTCAAACACACATACACATACACACACGCCCACACTCACAAATATACATATATATTTGCTTACCTCTACATCAAATATTAAAAAATATCAAATTGCTTACCTCTACATATAGAAACCCCACAAAGCTATTCAGTTGTTCTATTTCATTTTGTGTGAAAGTTGCATTTTTCAAGGAGTTTGTTCACTTCACCTAAGTTGCAAAAATACTGAAATAAAGTGGTTCGTAATAATCCTTATCATGAATTTTAGTATCTGTAGTGTCTATATATTCTCACTATTTAATTCCAGATGTTGGTAATTTGTGTTTTATCTCATGCTTCCCGCATCAATCTGGCTTGATGTTCATCAGATTAATACTAATGTATTGTATATTTCAAAGTTGCTGAAAGAGTACATTTTTTATGTTCTCACCATAAAACAATGATAAGGTGTTAGGTGATGGATATGTTAATTAGCTTGATTTACTGTTTCCACAATGCATAAATCAAAACACCACATTGTACCCCACAAACATACGTATACACAATTATTATTTGCCAACTAAAAAATAACTAAATAGAAGTACTTCATGAATCCTTTCAAAGAATCATATTTTAGCTTCATTAATTTCCTCATTGCTTTCTATTTCATTGACTTCTGATATTATGTTTATTATTTCTTTCTTACTACTTACTTTGAATTTTAATTGTTCTTTTTCTATTTAGTTGAAATGAAAACTTAAGTGATTGAAGAAGATATAAATGAAGGTGATAAAGATGTAAATCTTATTTTCTAATATAATCTTTTGCTGTATATTTTCTACTAATCCAATGCTGTATGTATCTTATTAATTTTTAAAATCTTGTGTTTCCATTATCATTCAGCTCATAATTTCTTAAGCTGTATTGGTATTTATTATTTGATCCATAGGTTATTAGAACTGTGTTGTTTGATTTTCAAGTATTTGGTGATTTTTCTAAATATCTTATTGATTTCTCATTTAATTCCATTGTGGTCAGATAACATATTTTGTTAGATTTTGGAATTTATGGAGACAAATTTAATGGCCCAGAATATAGTCTACTTTGGTGACAGTTCCTTGTGCATTTGAAAAGAATGTATATTCTGTAATTGTAAGGGGTAACATTCTGTGAATGTAACTGGGTAAAATTGCTTGATACTATTATTCAAATCTTCTTTATCCTTGGTAATTTTCTTGTCTGTTTGTTCTCTCAGATACTGACAGGGGATATTAAAATCATGAAATGTGATTTTGGATTTATCTGTTTCTCTCTTGACTTCTGGGATTTTTTTTTTGCCTTATTTATTTTGAAGCTCTGTTATTGGGTCATATTTTTATGGATTATGGGACCACCTGATGAATTTTCCCTTTTTCATTATGAAATATCACCTTAAAAATTATCTAATATTTAAATGACCAAACTTCTTTCTTATCATTACTATTTGCATGGTATGTCTTTTTTTCAGACTATAGCATTCAATTTTCTTGTGCTTTTATATTTAAAGCAAATCTCTTTTAAACAGCATAGTGTTGGGTTTTCTTTTTAAATCCAATCTGACATCCTCTGACTTTTTATAGGAGTGCTTACTTTATAATTAATGTAATTATTGATACGGTTGGTTTAAAATCTACCATCTTGCTATTTGTTTTTTATTTCCATGTCTTTTCGCTTCCCTTCCCCTTTGTGTCTCATCTTATTTTGGGCCAATCAAACATTCTGCTTTATTTTCTATGCTAGCTTTATAAGTATATATCTTTTAATGGCTTTTCTAAAGGGTGGGATAGTTCTCCCAGGATTATGATATGCATCTTTACATTATTACAGTCCACTTGGAATTAATAATGTAGCACTTTATGTAAAATACGAGAACCTTACCACAGTAGAGTTCTTTTTGCTCCTTTCTGTTCTTTGTGCTATTATTGTCAAATTGCTTACTTCTGCATGTAGAAACCCCACAATGCCATTGTTTTTGCTTTAAATAATTGTCTTTTAGAATATTGAGAAAACAAAAAAGAGAAAGTCTCATATTTTATCCATGTATTTACCATTTTCAGTGATTTTTTTCCTTCCTGAAGGTCTGAGACTTCATTTTGTATCATTACTCTTAAAATGCTTTTTATTGTGGCAAAATACAAGTAACATAAAATTTACTATCTTAACTGTTTTAAAGTGTACAACCCAGTGGTATTAAGTACATTCAAATGTTGTGTGGGCATCACCACCATCCTTCTCCATAACTCTCTTCACCTTTTAAAACTGAAACTCTGTTTCCTTTAAACAACTGCCCATTAACCCCACCCTTGTGTCCTGGCAACCACTGTTCTACTTTTCATCTCTGTGATTTTTTTACTACATTTAACTACCTCATATAAGTGAAAGCATATAAGTGAATAGTATCTTTTTGTGATTGACTTACTTCACTTAGCACAATGTCTTCAAGGTTAATTCATGTTGTGGCATGTGTCAGAAAGTCCTTCCTTTTTAGGGCTGAATAATATTCCATTGAATGGATGTACCACATTTTGATTATCCATCCATCTATCAATCAATACTTGTTTCTTTTTATATTTTAGCTATTGCGATTATTGCTGCTATGAACACAAGTATACAAATGTCTTTTAGAGACCCTGCTTTCAATTCTTTTGGGCATATACCCAGAAGTGGAAGTGCAGGATCATAAGGCAATTCTACATTTAATTTTTTGAGGAACTGCTATATTGTTTTTCATAGTCACTGTACGATTTTACCTTCCTACCAGCAATGCTTGAGGGTTCCAGTTTCTCTCTCTCTATATCTATCTATATAATATATATAGATATATATATATTTTGTGTTTTTTTTTTTTTTTTTACCGAGTCTTTCTCTGTCCCCCAGGCTGGAGTGCAGTGGCACCATCTTGGCTCAGTGCAACCTCTGCCTCCCAGGTTCAAGTGATTCTCTTTCTTCAGCCTCTGAAGTAGCTGGGATTACAGGAGCCCACCACCACGCCCGGCTAATTTTTGTATTTTTAGTAGAGACGGGATTTCCCCATGTTGGCCGGGCTGATCTCAAACTCCTGACCTCAAGTGATCTGCCTGTCTTGGCCTCCCAAAGTGCTGGGATTATAGGCATGAGCCACCACACCTGGCTGTTTTGTTTTTTGTATTTTATTTTATGGTAGCCATCCTAATGGGTGGGAGGTGATGTCTCATTGTAGTTTTGATTTGCACTTTGCTAATGATTAGTGATGTGATGCTGAGTAGCTTTGCCTGTGCTTATTGGCTATTTGTATATCTTTTTTGAAGAAATGTCTATTCAAGTTCTCTGTCCTTTTCTGAACTGGTTTGTTTGTTTTTTGTCGTTGAGGTAAAATTACTCTTAAACCACAAGGACTTCCTTAGTGTTTCTTATAGTATAGATTTTCAGGCACTTAAAAAAGAAGTCAGCTTTATTCACCTAAAAGTGTTTTTATTTTTTCTTTAATATTGAAGATTGTTTTTGCAGACTGTAGTGTTCACATTTTTTTTCCTTCAGGACCTTATAAATGAGGTTTGATTTTCCTCTGACACCCATTTTATGTAAAGAGAAGTCAGACATTCATTTTTTCTTTGCTGCCTTCTATTTGATTTGTTTTTTTTTCCCTTAATTGTTATTCAGCAGTTTGACTATGATATGTGTAGGTGGGGTGTGTGTGTGTGTGTGTGTGTGTGTGTGTGTGTGTGTGTGTATTGCAATTATCCTGCTAAGAGTTTGTTGAGATTCTTGAATATGTGGGTTAATAAAATATGTCATCAAATTTTGAAAATTTTTGCTTTCATTCCCTCCCAAATTTTTATTTCCTATTCTTTAACTCCTGTCAGTTCTGAGACTCCAATTTCATCCTTGTTTCACCACTTGATACTTTCCCACAGGCTTCTTAGCTTCTTCAACTTTTTTTCAATCCTTTTTTCTACCCTGATAGGCTGGAACCTCAAAGTCTGTTAATAGTGAATGACCTCTGTTATCTCCATTCAGCTTCTAACCACCCAGCAGCCACTCTTTGCTGTGCCTGATGGAATTTCAGCCAGCGTATATGCAACTGCGCCTTCTGTAAGTACTTGAGAACTTTTACACAGTCTTCTTCACTTACCTACATATATCTTATTCCTCTCCAGAATAGCTTTCCAAACTCCATTTAGATACAGCTACTCGTGTTGCAAATGTGACATGTCTAGAGCAAGAAGAACAGGGTATTTCCATCTTGAATTCTCTCCTCCTTCTCTCCTTCTAGGTTGCAGTCAATTCCTCTTTGACCATGTCTTTCCCATTTTACCCCCATGACAACAGTCTTCATTGTTCTCAATTTTATGATCCCACAGCACTTTACTAATACTCCTGGTAGAACACATCATTTTTTTTTATTATAACACAGCAATTGACATTTGACAAATAATTATTAACTGTAGGAAGAAACAAATGGATGTTGTGTTTGTATTTGTTTCACCTGCCAGATGGTTAGCTTATTTTCAGCAAGGATAATAAAACACAGGACACACCATGGGCATTTAATAAATCTTAGTTGAATAAATAATGACATTATTATAATTTTTTCATAAATAGCTCATGTCATATGGATTAGTTTATGTATTTTGTCATATTTGGTGTTTGGGTAATGTTCAATATTTCTCAACCTGTCTGAAACCATTTTTTTTGGAGGACAAGTCAGGAAAAGTCTACTTTCAAATATGCCGATGTACTAGACCATCTTATATGCAAGGACGTTTAATTTTCTTAAAACAGCAAGAACAGAAAAATTAAATTTTTGTCCATACTGCCACCATTTTTAGTTTCACTAAGGTTCCCAGTTTTTCTTAAAATGCCAATGTTTAGAGTTAAGAAACACATTTAATGAATGAACAGAAATAAACAGAAGTAATTGTAGACATTTGTGCTATGCCAGAGATGTAAAATTTATTAGGATAATCATGAAGAACTTCCTTAATTTCCAGAAAGATAGCACCCAAGACTGGAAACAGAATTCCCAAAGCACCCACAGAAAGAGACACTTTAATATGAAGGAATCGAACAGCTTCGGGAAGCTGTAGGCATCCACTAATTCAGACTGCAGTTGGTTATAGCTGAATGGTCATTGAAAGTTTCTTGGTCTCTTTTTATTTGCAAGGGGTGATTGTGATAGCAACATCCTTGTTCCAATTTCTAAAACAGAGCACATTAGTTGTAGGTACTGAGATACGTGAATGCTAAAGCTTCTATGCTGACTCTTTCAACCTCAGGCACTGAGCAAAGTAGCCATCCATCAGCAGCTTCTTGGGAGGCAGGGCTCACAGCAGGGCTGAGTGAAGGTGGTGAGGTTGAGGGTCTCCAGGCCTGGAGTTGGCTGGCAAGAGTTGAGCAGGAAGCAGGTGGGCACGCAGGGCTGAGGAATGTAGCAGGGTGGGGGACAGTTGTCACAGCAGGTGGGCTCCAGTAACCAAACCGTGTGTGGGCAGGTGCTGGGCAGGCAGACTCCGCAGCGGCAGGATTTGTCGAAGGTGCAGATGGTGGTGGCGGGCCCGGTGGGGACACTGCAGCTGCGAGAGGCACAGCAATCCATGGCAATCAGCGTCTGTGGTATTTATGGGTTTGATTGAAAAGAAGGACGAGTCTTCTGAGGTGTGAATATCTGTCCTTTCTCTGGGGCTCTTATATATCCTCTCCACTGGGAGTTGGTCCAGCCAAGAGGCTTCTTTCCTGGTTCTTGTTTATGTTAGTGTACCCATTATTCTTTAATTTGTTTGACATTTAGACACTGTAAAGAGTCCCCATTTTCCTAATTAAGTTTTATTTGAGTTCATTGCTAAATCTGAACTGATTACCCTTGCTGGAACACAAGCTTTATGAGGTATCACCAAAGCCTTCTGTTATTATATTTTCAACACCAGCCCTGCTGGGGAATACTGCATGACAGTGAGTCTGTACAATATGTGGGCCTGCTCTCCAGTGCTGCTTTATTTTTAATCTGTCACTTTATCTATACCAATTTGTCTGATAAAGTATCCTTGTTTTAAAGAGTTGAACTTAATTTTACTTTCTTTTAGCTTTGAGGCTTTTGAAGATCAAAATTACATTAATATGGAGAAATATGCTGTTGAGAAATATGGAAAAACTTATAAAACACTTATTATTATAGTTTTTTACTACAAATATTTTGTATACATTTGTTTAGTATTACATTACATTACTGGAGGAATCACATTGTGCATAGGTTCTGAAACTTGCCTTTGTGTATATCTATGTATCTGTATATAATTATATTTTAAAAGATATTTGATAGTGTTACTTTTAATATTTTAGTATTTATTATATAATTGCACTTCTATGTTACTTTAAAAATGTATATTACTGTGCATTGAGGTTATTTTCAACTTTTCTCTACAATAGTTGTGGTAATAGAGCACCTCTGTATATAAATCTTTGTGCATATTTTTGATTATTTCAGAAACGGAATTAATTATTTGGTAGAATTATAGGGGCAAATGTTAATTTCTAGTAGTTTTAAGGCCTTTCATATCATTGCCATACTGCTCTTCAGAATGGTTCTATTTACCTGGTTTTTTTTTTTTCAAATTACCTATTTCTACCAGGTGTGTTTGATTAAGAATTCCCATTTCCTATACCGTTGACAGATACTTTATTTTAAAGGTGTGTTCCAGTTTCTTGGGTGAAAAACACAATTTTATGATTATCGTGTTTGTATTTCTTTTATAACCAGCTATGTTGAAATATTCTTTCATATGCATATTGGCCATCTGTCTTCTATTGAGAGCTGGCTTGCTTTCTTTCCTTCACTGCTAATGGTAGGCAAATTGAATTGTTAGCTTCTGTCTATATAGACTAAATAAAATAATAAGAATACAAAACTAAAATTCAAGTAAAATTATCACCAAAGGAAACTTATGAGCCTGAGCTAAATTAATCTGTTAACACGTGATTTCATTCTCTCTTTTTTTCTTTCCTTTTTTTTTTTTTTTTTACAAAGTAGTGCATTTTTTCCTGAAATCAAATGTAGCTGTGGTAGGAAAGACCTAGATTCTGCTATCAGTACGCTGTTTAGACTGCTGGCATAGTTCAGTGTTTAAGAGGGAGCACAAGGTGGGCTTGTGGCCAGTATCATTTCTACACCTCAAACCATTTTCGCTCAGCTTGGTCTCATGCATCCTGCAAGCCATGGTTCTTCTCACATTCCTCCCACCTCCTCCTTTAGGCACACCTGTAGAGTGGTACATGGTGGGGTGCATGTTTGTATGTTTTGGGAATGGGGATGTATATTTAAGAGGACCACATTAGGAGTCAGAAGAGCTCTTGACTGTTCCTGGTGCTGCTGGTTACCTTCCTTCTTATGGTAAGTAATTCACTTTTAGGAGCTTCATCTTTTTTCTCTGCAAAATTAGGGTAATAACATACATATTCCTCCACTCAGGAGATTACTGTGAGGTTCACATGTGATAAAAAGGGTGAAAGCTCATGGACAACCATATAGTGCTATGCAAAAATAAATTATTATCATGATTAAAGCAAATTACAGATCAAATTCAAGGCAAGGTAAAGATAAAAGAAACAGTCAAAAGAAGAAAAGAAAAAGAGATGAAGGTAAGCAAGAGAGCAACCTTACAGGAAAGAGCAAACATTTATATTAGAAGTTTATACAAATAAATAAATAAATAATCACATCTACTATTAGAGAAAGTGCTTGGCATATAAATTAACAAACTTAAAAATTTGAAAATCTCTCTATGGCTCTGCTTGAAAGACAGAATTCATGATATCTGCTGGTTCCTGGACTTTCCCTAGATTTATTTTTGTATGAATACCTGCCAAAGTGTACACCCTTTTACTTAGGACTGATTATTATTTCACTTATTATTTAAAAAATAATTCAACAGACATTTACTGAGCAGTTACTATGTGCTTGTCACTGTAATAAATGTTGGATATATAGCAATAAACAAAATAGGCACCATCCTTGCCCTCATGAAGTTTATAGTTTGGGGGAAGAATTTTTCATACCCATAACATATTATTATAAGTTGCTGCTATTATACATTATAATAGGAAGGAAAAAGATTGGATTCTAAGGGCAAAAGACAAAAAATAAAAGAAAAAAATTATTTTGAGGGAAACATTACAAAGGAAACATGGCTTGCAGACCCTCAGGGTTAGAATTTCATGGCAGAAAGCTATCAGCTTCTTACCTGGGATACAATATTACTTTAAGTTCACCGTAAAAGCTTAGAGAAACTGTTACTGTTTATGCAGAACATTGTGTTTCTCTAATCATAAATAAGACAAGGTTACAGATTACAAACAGTTGTAATGCAACAAGTTTATTATAATAAGCTCTTCTCTTTTATTAACAAGACGTGCAGCACTTTATTAAAATGTATTTTCTCTGCAGTGGTCTAAGAGACCTGGGAATTACTCTCCTTTGTTTATAAATGATGACAGTGATTCATAGAGAGGTGAGATGATTTAGATGGTTTGGGAGCCAGTGTGTTAAAAACTAAATATAGGACCTATTGGGATAGAGCTACCTTTTATGTGGTTAGAAATGGAAGTTTAAACTATGTGTCAGAGATACTAAGCATTTTATTTTTAAAAACAAAGAGTATCTTTTTTCTTTAAGCAATTGTAAGAAAAGCATGGTGACTCTTGATGAGATGGTAGATTTTCGGAGTGCTAAAAATCTAGACACACACACACACGCACACGCACAAGCACACATCCAAGAAGTCCAGTTTTAATTATATCTTTCTACAGTCAATGGAGGGATCCAGGACAGTGAAGACGTAAATCCAAGATTAATAATGAAAAGAGACAGTTAGAAGCAAAACATGATTCTATTGGTCTCTTGCTTGAAATCTTTCATTGCTTCAAAGTTTCAGTCCAAACCCCTTTGCTTTGGGGAGTCCCTTGTGTCTGGGTCTTTGTATTTCTGTCTTCTCTGCCTCACCCTCTTCAATGCATTGTTCATCCGGTCCTTCCCAACTACCTCCTGTGGCTTAAAAACCCCAACCTCTTTGCTGCCTCCATGATTTATTAAGCTGTTGTTCTGTCTGGAACAACTGTTCCCTACCTCTCCTGCTGCCTATTCATCTTTTAAAGCTTAGGCTGGATAACTCAGAGGCTTTCCATAACTATTTCTCACCTCTGACACTGAATCACCAAATCTGGGTTTTAGTTATTCTTTCTGTATGCTTGCATGCCATGCTGTTCACCTCCCAGTCACAGCAGAATCCCTCAGCATTGCAATTATTGTGATTATAACTTGTCTTTCTCCTTCATCAGATTTGGGAGAGACTTGAGGGCACTAGAGACTTGAGGTAATAGCATTTCTTTTATCTTTCTACTCCTGGCATTAATGTGATGCCTGACACAGGATAAGCACTCAGGAAATATGGACAAATGAATGAGTGAATGGACTGAATCTCTTGTTGACAGTATCCTCTGTTGTGTCCCATAGACTCCATGGCTGCTAAGTTCTGTTCATTTAAGGTTGAACTGTAAAAAGCCTATGGAATCCCCTGAGAAATTTCTTTCTAAAGGGACTAACAGGTACATTGAGAACATTTTAAAACAAGAGTGCTTAAAAGCATTTACTTCTCCCCTTCCTTGTCCTACTCTTTTCCTTGCATGTATTCTTGTGGTTTTATTTCAATGAATTTTCAGATTTTGACTTGTGTCTTTATATATGTATTATGTATAGATATACATGCACACATATATTTATATGTGTTACATAAATGTATTGGATGTATTAATATATAGTATATATACATATATGTACTTGTTCTCTCTAGGCTTGGAAAAGAAAAATCTTTGTGAGATAAAATTAAGTAGGCTGATAAAATTCAGTAATGAATTAAAGCATATTTAATCAGAGTTTTAGCTCTTAACCTGAGACACCTGAAAAGTATTGGCATTCTATTGATTACTGTGGTAGAACATCTGTGCAGAGTACGGTGGCAAATAGAGGTATATTCCTGGTGCCTTGTGACTAGAGTTGACCACTTTGAGTTCTCTCTAAGAGAAGATGAAGTTGAAATAGGTACACCTCCAAAATACCCAGATTTTAGAATTGAATACTTGCCAATTTTAATCTACGAACCAGTGTACTCTTTTTCTATTATAATCCAATGTGGATTTTGTTAAAGAATCTTACATGTTTTATTTCTCTTGCGTATTTTGGGTTTATTTCATAACTGTGCTCATTAAACTTCTGGCTTCATTAGTATTGAAGGTAGTATTGTGGTAGGAAAAATTGGGCTTTAGAGTCAGACATACAAGAGGCTGAATTCTGATTTTCTAAGTAAGTAACTATGACTTTGAGAATGTTGAATAACTCTTAAAACTTCATTTATTCTTATCCATTAGTGCTATTTTAAGGACTAAATGAATGATTTACTAGTGAAGAGTAGACAAATAAATGTTGGTTCACACCAAAATTACATTTGTCTGAGGAGGAAGAGAGAAGAGAAGGCAAATATAAAAGAGAACCTGTTAAAAGTTAGCAAGCCATGTTAGTAGTATCCAGAATGTTAGTCATTCTGCCAATAGATTCTTTTTTAAAAAATTAAAATAATCATCTTTTTTTACCTTTTTAAAATGGAAGAAATATACCCAAAACTAACATAAATAAA